GGGGCAACCGGCGACGACGATGGGGCGATCGGCTACGAGGATGCGGCGACCGGAGACGATGCGGATGCGGATGGGGCGACAGAAGACCGACAAGGATGCGGTTGAAGAGGGCGAGATTGGGGATCGGTGGATTTTTTTTACGAAGGCCTGTGCGGTGGTGTGAGGGGAAAGCAGTGAAGGGATAAGGCTGCTGCGGGCGACGTGCGGTGGGAGTCTGCACCTAAGCGTGGGACCCGCATCACTAGCCCAACGACACACATTAAGGGACACCGCTCCCCTCCCAGAACAACGGACATTACGGGACGGAGGGAGTACGAGCTAGTAGTAGTAGCTAGCTGCTCTCGGGTGGAGTACGTATAGTACTAGTACTAGTACCGTGGCGTCGTAGTAGTACAGGACGTGAGCCCAGACGACGGGACAGCATTCCCATCCCATGCACATGCAAGCATGTCAGCATGTGTGGCCGATAATAGAGCCGGTGACGGCACGTATACGCACGGGCGTGCCGCTGCATTTACGTGCTGCATGGAACTGTGCTTGTGCGCGCGTGCGTACTATGTGCACGCAATATATTGGTTTGCCTCAAGTATGTACGTAGACAGGGTACACGTCGTCGTTCACGTACCCGAATTGGGCCGCCGTGCATGCACGCGCGTGCGCTGTGCGCAACAGCACGCACTGGCGGCACTGCTACAGTGCAAGGCCGTTGTTTGCTACTGCACACGCCGCGATCCATTAGGCCATGCATGGGAGCATACATGCTCTCGAGCCCGCCGGGGCGAGCCATTATTCACGGAACGCACGCGTCTGCCCCATGCCCCCATGGCATGGACCGTCAGCCCGGCGCGCGCGCGCGTATCGCTCGTATGTTCACGTACGTCGTGTACAGTGAACTTCGTCTTCCGTATGTCCTCGCTGTCTTTTTTTTCGCGGATTCGAAAGTACAGTACATTATTATTGGAGAGATGAGATATACGTACACATTTTTGTTAGGAGTTGCTCGCCCCTTTTTGTACTCCGTTTTCTCTCCGCCCTCCTATCGGCTGTTCTTTTTTAGTCTGTCTATATACATAGCAATAGACACATGATTTTCTTAGCCGTAAGATGTAAAAAGAATGGCGAAACCTTCACCCAATCATTTTAAGTATTAGGTTAGAAAAATAATCATGGTAATAACAGGAACAGAGAAGATACTCCCTTGGTCCAGAAAAAGATACACAAAAATAACAACATTAACTAGCTAATTGGACTATTAAGTAGCTAATAGAGGAGGCACATTGTGGGGGGCATATAAATGTTGAGGGTGCCAGGCCCCTCTCAACCCCTCCCCTACCCCTTCCCTCCTCTCCTAACTGTCCGCTAGAGCCACTGCCTAACACTAATCTCCTGATGAGTTCTCCTTCAAGTCCGTCGAGCTCTCCACTCTCCTACAATTGCTACCTCATCGTTCGATTCTAGTGGCTCAACACCGCCACACGATCGTTTTCACCCTAACTGAGCTATCATCCTGATGCCCTTTCTACCCCCCCCCGTGTCTCAAGGTTTCGTGTATACCTACAAGGCGGCCTCCTCCCTCCCTGCTCTACATCTCCAGTGTTCAACAGTTGGTGGAAAACAATAATTAGGTTGTTCCTAGCTAGAGACAAACACTCGCGGGTGAAGTAATAGCTCATTTGCTACGTACTTAGATATACACTAGATATATAGTAAAAACAATATATCTAGAAAAAAGTCAAAACGTCTTATAATTAATTTGGAATGAAGGGAGTAGTAGCAAAATTAAAAACTCTCCCTTTGGTTCAATTTATGCTGATCTAGGCAAGCATATATGTGTGGCTGTTAGATCCGCTAACTACGTTTTTTTTAGCAAAAGATCCGCTAAGCACTGACATGCCTTTTCTTCTACACCTATAAAAAGCATCGATGGGCCTGTGACACAGCTCGTCCGACGCTCCCTCTGATTTTTTCCCCAAAAAAAAAACCTTACTAACGTGCACTCTGAACCGCGTTCCAAACAGCAAAAAGCCTGTGTCGTTTAGATTTCGCAGGATATTGTTACCTACACAAACGACGCCTCCGACACGTCCTACCAGCCGTTGTTTGTACTGCCTGCAGCCGGCATCCTTTTGGATCTGGGGCCCAGCCAACCGGGTCGCATGCAAACCCAATGCTTAACAGACTGGCCAGGAGGGCGTGCGTCAGAGCATAGTCATTAACGGTAACTAATTAATTAAGATACTAGGCCCATAATGCATGTAGTTGGGGTAAAAGATGAGGTTCACTAATTAATTCCAATATGTATGCGAACAATTTAGAGGTGAAAGTGGTGCGGAAATTTTCCATTCCCCTCCTATCAGAATCCTAAATTTGAAGATATGGAAAACAATTTTAATATCCATATGGATACGAATAATCCAAAACCGATTAAGTGCGGACACCAAGTACATATGAATAATCCGAATCCGATTATGTACGGACACAAGTACATATGGATTATCCAAAGTTTAGAATAGGGTATCCGAAAATTTCTCTTCCTAAACTAAAACTTAGAGGAATTCAGGATTTTTTTTAAAAATGGCATCGAAGTGTTTGACTCCATCACCCCATCGGTGATTTTTGAAAGAAAAAAACTATTAAGTGCTAATTGTGCCATTGGCCGTAGGCATGACAAAAAAAAATCGTGGTTCCTGCACTACGCACGGGCATATATCTTGTCATGAAAAAAAAAACTACTGACATGCCTGCATCTTGTATTAGAATAGAGGCCCAAAATCGATGCCTAAGCTACAACCCTGCCTCCGTACAGCCCAAAACTAAAGCCCAGCCGAATACCGTGCATGATTTAGCCGAGCAGCAACCAAGACGCACAGGCCGGGCAGCCACTGGTGGGCAGTGGCACAGGCCGGGAGAGACACCAGCTACGTGGGCTAACAAATGTGGGCCACAGGCCCAGCGCAATATTTTTCTTCCGTCAATCGTCACGTCCAATTGCATATTTGCATACCACAAGAGCGCATCTGAAATAGTGCACATCGATGATGCAGACTCCTCGCATGGCGTCACCTTGAGACGAGCACACAACTTATAGTCATCACTTTTCTCAACAGCAAGTTTCAAAGCGACTAATAGTTACTTCAATATAAACTTAGTTTCATATATGTTTATTTCTATATAACTAGATATGTGTAATAGTATTCTTTTATGATAATTTAAAATTTATATACGTCCATTTATTGGAATTACACAAAAATTAATTGTATCTATCTTTATGCTACAAACAAATATATATGGGGTACAGTCTTGGCATTCCAAAATAGTATAGGATTTTTAAGGAAAAAACAAATGTTTTTGTATAGTTTATTTATAATATAGATTTTCTAGTAACTTAGTCTTTAGTTTTCAGTAATACCTGAATCTTCATAGAAAGTTCTAAAATTTAGTGAAGGACCAAGCTACATCCTTATATCATCTTGAAAAACGTGTTGGGGGCTCTGCATGTAAAACCCCACGAATCGTATTGCAAGAATACATAGGTGGGATGTGGAGCTAAAAATTGTGTGGCTTCCACTGCTTCATCCTCACATCCGTGGGCCTAGGGCGAAATTGACCCGACAACATTGGCAGAGGGAGAGGCGGCGGCACCATCATTGCCCGACGTGGAGCCGCCGCTGGCTAGGTCGACGCGGAGGCGGCATGGTCCCTCAATGCAGAGGCGAGGTGCGGTGTCAGGGCATAGGCGGAAGCGGGGAAAAAATTATGTGCATGTTGTATCCATAGCCGCACCATGCATACAGGGGGTGGATGTTGACATGTGTCAGACTTCAATGATTCAACACAAGCCAAGGAGTGGTCCTATGCTAAAAATAGACTCGGCTCCAGTAAGGGTCGTTCACGTGGCCACGCCCATCCGCGCCATGCCCACATGCACCATATAGACCAACATGTGTCAGGCATCCACGAATGTATGCATGGCGCAAGTGTGGATACAGTTTTCGTAGATTTTTTTCACGGAAGCAGGCCTAAGCTGGTGCCATCCCCGACGCGGATGCAGGTGTGAGGGCAAACGAGGGAGGTGAGGTGGAGGGTTGCATCTAGACAGGAGATGAGGTCGTGGAGGCTTGTGGTTGATGAGGTGTCGAGAGAAGAAGAAAAAGTAAAATACGTGAGAAAAATCAAGAAAGAAAAGAAAAAAACAGATTATCGATATTTTACTGTTTTCAACCACTAAGAAAAGTAACCAGCTTGCTCGCCCGTGCTGCCTGCAGCTTATCTGCTACAACAAGTTGTAGAAACTTCTTCTCAAAAGTGAACAGTTACGGCAGTAGCTGCAGCGAACACAGTATTGCTTTTACCAAACTTTTTCTAACCAGAGAAACTGGAGTTAAAAAAGCTATTTCATAAAAAACAGAGTTAAAATTATTTTAGCCGGAGCTAGAGCTCTATCAGATGAGCCCGTAGATCCTCATTCAAGTGTTGTAGAGTAAGTTTGAAGGGCCGTATAACGTTTCAGTAATCCAGTGTTCCGTAATCCGTAGGGAGAAAAGAAAAAACACGAGGAACAATGTAACAGGATAGAATGGATGAATGTTTGTTCAAAAAAAAGATGGAATGGATGCCGGAACAATGGTACACGTTGCTACGTGGTGACAATCCCAATTCCCCAGCACGCAGCTCCATCTGCTCTGTGTTGTCCCCACCCCAATCACCGCTGTCGCTTCGCCGCAGCCAGCCCAGCTGCAAGCTACATGCATGCATGCACGCACTCAAGCACACGGCGGCACGGATGCGGCCGAGTGCGGCAGCACAGCACTACAGCAGCGCGCGCTCCACGTCACCTTCCCCTCGCCACGTACGCGGCCCGGCCTCCACCTGGCCGCACGCATGGCTGCGGCCCTCGCCGCGGCACCTCTTCATATACGCCGCAGCTCGCCTCGAACCCTCTCATCACCGAACGGACAGCCGCACTCGCACACCATACTAGCTAGCCACAGACGGGCGCCATGAAGATGAAGGTCCTAGTGCTCCTGCTCCTGCGTGTGCTCCTCGCTGGCGCTCGCGTGGCAAACGGACACGGGCTCCGGCTCCGGCTCCGGCCGGCCGTACCACTACGGCGAGGAGAGCTTCCGGCATTGGACGCGGTCGCGGCAGGGCCGGTTCAGGGTGCTGGAGCGGTTCACCCACGAGCTGCTGGAGGACGCCGTGGGCAACTACCGCGTCGCCGAGCTCGAGGCCGCGCCACGCGCGTTCCTACAGCCCAGCCACTACGACGCCGACGAGGTGATGTTCGTCAAGGAAGGCGAGGGCGTCGTCGTGCTCCTCCGTGGCGGGAGGAGGGAGTCGCTCTGCGTCAGGGAGGGCGACGTCATGGTCATCCTCGCGGGCGCCGTCGTGTACTCCGCCAACACGCACCACTCGGAGTGGTTCCGCGTCGTCATGCTCCTCAGCCCCGTCTCCACCTCTGGACGCTTCGAGGTATGCCTCGCTTGCATCCCTTCTTGTGCTTTAATCTGGCATGCAAAGAGAGCTGACGAAACTTCTCTTCGTCTTCGTGCTCTGATCGGCAGGAGTTCTGCCCCATCGGAGGCGAGAGCCCGGAGTCGTTCCTCGGCGTCTTGAGCGACGACGTTATCCAGGCGTCGTTCAACGTATGCATGTGCTTCATCGTCCTCACGGCCAGTTTTCTTCTCTTCTGCATCGATTTTTCTCTAGCTAGCAAACTAACCAGATCTGAACACTGACCATGCATGTGTCTAGACTCGCCGGGAAGAGTGGGAGAAAGTGTTTGAGAAGCAGAGCAAGGGCGAGATCACGACGGCGTCCGAGGAACACATACGGGAGCTGAGCAGGTCCTGCTCACGAGGAGGCCGCAGCAGCCGCGAGGGTGGTGTCTGGTTCTTCTTCTTCTTCCAAGTGGGAGATCAAGCCGTCCAGCCTCACGGGCAAGCGCCCGACCCACTCCAACAGCCACGGTAGGCACTACGAGATCACCGGCGACGAGTGCCCACACCTCCGTGTGCTCGATATGAAAGTCGGCCTGGCAAACATCTCCCGTGTAAGCTAGCACGCATTTTGTTTTTCCTTTTAGAATTTCAGCCGAAACGAAACGAAACGGCTACTGATGCTTTCTGATACCGGCGTGCGTGCAGGGTTCTATGATGACGCTGAGCTACAACACTCGTGCCCACAAGATAGCCGTCGTCGTGGACGGCGGCGAAGGCTACTTCGAGATGGCGTGCCCGCACGTCTCCGGCGGCCGGTCGTCGCAGCGCCGGGAGCGCGAGCACGGCAGGAGGGAGTGGGGCAGAGAGGAAGAGGAGGAGCAAGGTGGCCGCGGGCAGAAGTCAAGAAGCTACACGCAGGTGAAGTCCCGCATCAGAGAGGGCTCCGTCATCGTGATCCCGGCGGGGCACCCAACCGCGCTGGTCGCCGGCGAGGACAAGAACCTCACCGTCCTCTGCTTCGAAGTGAACGCCAACTTCGACGAGAAGGTGTTCCTGGCGGGCAGGAACAGCGCGCTGCAGCAGATGGATGGGCCGGCGAAGCTGCTGGCGTTCGGGGCGGACGAGGAGGAGGAGGTGGACCGTGTCATCGGAGCGCAGAAGGACGCCGTCTTCCTGCGCGGGCCGCAGAGCCGCAGGGTCTCGTCGGTGTAAGCGCATGCACGCGATGTCGTAGAGGCCTCTCATCGGCCTCGACGGTCGTGGCCACCCCGGTGGTGAGGTTAGGAGTGGAATAAAGTAGCTGGCTCGCCGGCGTCGCGTCATGTACGTACGTCCAGTGGAGGGTGACGCCGGCCCGGCCTGTGCGCGCGCAGGCATGTCTGTACGGGAATATGTAATCGTATCTACATCTACCTACCTATGCAAGTGAAATAACGTTGCTGAGACATGCTATGCTATCTGCTCTTGAAAAATGCAAACTTGCAAGGCACTCTGTTTCTGAAACCTTGCTAATTTTGCTATAGAATTTGGAATTTCGACGTCGCGCCTTTTATTCTCACGGCTGAAAAAACAAATTATAGAAATTCTTACGATATAACTGAAAACATTTAACCTTTAATTTAGCATATCCTAATCATCGCCGCCAATGATATCAAAACTTTGTACTATCGTGGTTCCTGCTATTCTGAAAAAAGTCATTGGATTATTCTGTTTATGTTTTATAACGTTGTAACGAGATATTTAACTTCCAAAAGTTTGTTGGGTTTAGAAAAGGTTGTTTGAATTTACGAAAAGATTGCTTAGACCTATGAAAAGTTTGTTTGGATATGAAAGGGTCGCTTAGATTTACAAAAATGTTGTTTAGCCCGTGTCTAGTTGGAGGGAAAGTTGGAATTTGGGTACTGTAGCACTTTCATTTTATTTAACAATTAGTGTTCAATCATGGACTAATTAGGCTCAAAACGTTCGTCTCGCAATTTTCAACCAAACTGTGCAATTAGTTTTTTTTCGTCTACATTTAATGCTCCATACACGTATCGCAAGATTCGATGTGATGGGTACTGTAGCACTTTTGGGAAAAATTTTTAGAACTAAACGCGCGCTTAGATATATACATAATTTTTTCTTTATTAAAAAAAATAAAAATAAATTTGTTTATTTTATTAGTTTTTGATCCAGAACTAGAAGTTATGTGGTTATGTGGATGACTTTTGGTTTAGAGATTTATCATGGGATGTTTAGATTGTTGCGTGGTAGTTTAGACAGCTTCTGGCTTGGAGATCTATTTTTAGCAGTTATGTGGGAATTAACCTTCATACTATGTGTTGCGTGGTGGTTTAGACAGCTTCTGGTTTAGACATGCGTTTCAAATTATCTGGGAATTAACCTTCATACTATGTGTGGATGCGAGTCATTCTAATTTACATGGATCAGAATGTTTATGGATTTCAGAAGGTTTAAAGATTTATCGCTGGTCGTGTTATGTCTTTTATTTGTTTTATTAGGATCATATTTTGCACCATACCTGAAAACTTAATTTGGGCGGATATGGAAGTACAAGAGAGTGTGGCGGACCATAAAAATACTTCATGTTTCAATTTATTTTGGAACTGGACTCTTCGTTATGTTTTTCGGACACGCTCCTCAAACTTATACAAGCACGAAAACAATCAAGTCCGTTGAATACCACCAGCGATTGTGAGCGATGAAGGATGTAAAATATTTCGCTCTTAAATATTAGAAATATGCTAATGATTCGAAGTGGGCATCTGTCCCCCGCCTTTCATACTCCGCCTCCACTGCGCCGCCCGCCTTCCCCGCTCCGCGCTGCCGTGGCTGCTCCACGCATGCGCCACCGAGCCGACGAGCCTCGAAGACGGATGCTCCAGCAAGCAGATGAGGGGAGGAGGTTCTTGTGACGCCGCCCCGCCGACGAGTTGCCCACGTCGCTGCCGCACTAGCGAGCTCCGCGCCGCCACAAGCTCCATGCACCGGTGTCGAGCTCCGCAACGATAAGCCTTCGTTCGTCCAAGCAGCAAGGTGGCATTGCGCTGAAAGCGTATATTACAAGAGTATGTTTCAAGTGTTTCATAGGTATGTTGCAAGTGCTTTACATCGATGTTGCAAAAGGAGATCGGGATGTTGCATGTCTTGCAATGGCTATGCACGCATGTTTCAAGTGTATGTTTCATCTGTTTCGGACGTCTGTTGCAAGTGTTTTATCTAGGTGTTGCAAAAGTAGAACTGGATGTTGCATATATATGCAAGTGTTTCAGGTGTTTTCATACGTATGTTGCAAGTGTTTCATCTGGATGTTACATATGTTTTCAATGGCTACACACATGTTTTCAAGTTTTTTTTGTGTTTTTTGCAAGTGTTTCAGACGTATGTTGTAAGTGTTTAAGCTGTTTCGGACGTATGTTGCAAGTATTTTATCTGGATATTGCAAAAGTTGAATGGGTGTTGCACATGTTGCAACGGGACCCACCTGCTGCAGCTACTAGGCGTCGTGCATGTGCCGGGGAAGTAGAGGGGGATGGAGGCAGGGGCGCGGGCGGTCCATGCGCGTGAAACGGGAGCTGCTGGGGCGCCGTGCATGCACTGAGCGTAGGAAGCGGAGGGAGTGGAGGCAGGGGCGCGCTGTAACACCCTCGGTGTTTGGCTTCCACTAAGTGCATTTCATTTCATAAACATATGCATCATCTATGCCATCATCGCCATTGTTACTGAAACATGCATGTGCAACAATTTCAACTGTGTATGTTTCATGCTTGATTGTTGTGAATAGTAATGGTGTAACATGTGAATGTAACATGAAACTCTCATACTTGGAAAACATGGCAACGTGGTAGTAGTGTGACAAGTATAGTATAACAACAAGGTCACGCAACATGTGGAACATTGTATTGAAACATATGTATGAATTGCTTGGTTTACTTTCTTTATCACATGTGATCAGTAGAAGAGGTATAACAACTTTGGAAAATGGTTGATCATGGTCTGATACACCTTAACTACACTTAGATGACTTGTTTGGACACTGTTCATGTAGGTCAAAATGACAGAATTGCCCTTGAATGGAGGTTTGACTTGAAAGGAACCCTAGAGTGCCACTGTTTGACTGTTTAAAAAGTCCAACTTAGAGGCTTTGCATGGCTGTGCACTCTTTACAAAAGTTGTAGCTAATTTATCAAGGAACAAAAGTTGTTTTATGGTCAACTCATGAAAAGGTCTAGAACATGGTCAAACATGGCCCACAAGTCAGAAGTACATGCTGATTCATACTCAGCAAATTTTTCTAAGTCCTAACGTGCAGTACAGTTTCGTGTACCCATGTTTGGAGCCGTGTATCTCCCGAACCGAGCCACACCAGCTTGAGCTTCAGTGGAAAGAGTTGTAGTTCAAGGATTGATGAACAACTTTGTTAACTACGGCATAGCCTAGATCACTACAGATTAGGAAATAATCTTTGTCAAAGTATCGCTGTCAGGCTTAGAAGGGAACGCTGAATCGGAGCTACAGTGATCAAATTTCAGATTTCAGTCGACGCGTGGGGGACACTCGTCGCCGGCTTGCTGTCGCGCTGGCCACGCGCCGTGCGCCTCCTGGCATCACAGACGCGCCTTGAAGCCACCCGCGCGCCTGTCCGACGCACTCACCGCCCCAGTTCACATCTTCTCGCCCTCCACCGCACGCCGCGTCGAGAGCTAAGCCGCCCGCCATTGCCGACCGAGCATCGCAGCTGCCGTGCGTGCACGCCACCGCGAAAACGCGTTGCCCCGTCCGCCTGTAGCCTCTCCGTGACCTCCTTCACCTCTCAGCCGGGTCAATCGAGCCTCGGTAAGGGCGTATTCGCCGTTCTTCCCCACCGTAGCCATGGCGGAAGTTCGCCGGAGTTGGCGCTCCACGCGGCCAGTTGTCCTCGCGCCCTTTCCACCCCTCCCCTACCTCGCGCTAGGTCATAGGAACACCACCGAAGCTCGTAGAGTCACCAGTAGTGGCTGTGTCGCCGTCAGTTCGCCGGAGCCGGACGTGCCGCGGCCGTGCGCCGCCGTGCTCGTCGCCACCCCCTCTAGCCGTTGCAATCGTTGCAATAGATGGGTCCACTAGATGCGCATGGTCAACACGAACGTCGTAGCGTAGATGGTTTCGCCGGAGAAGCCACCGGCGGCGAGTTGCGCCGTCGCCTTCCTCCGCTCCCCTGTCTGTCTCGCTGTCACGCGGGGCCCGGCTGTCAGCCGCCGAGGCTGAGGCGGGAGCCAGCCTGGGCCGCACCGTGTGTTGGGCCGCGGGCGCCGTGTCTTGGGCCACGCCAGTGCGCTTCGCGGGCCGTCGTTTCTTCGGGCCGGCCCAACAGCGGCCGTGATTTATTTTCTTATTTGTTTTGCTTTATTATTTCACAGATTTGTGTTGATATTCAAAAATATATAGCTCCTAGTATATAGATCCAAATGCTATGGTTCCAATTTTGTTGAGTTCATGATAATGTCTAGTATTTAATAAAAATATTATATGGACACATGTTTTAGAAAAATTTGATGAATTAAATAGGAGTTTGAAATGTGTTTTTAGAAGCATGCAAACTTGTTTGAATTTTATCTTGAGTTTCTGTGGTCCAAAAATTATGAAATTTTGTGGGCAGTCTGTTATTGCTGATGTGAAGCTCTAGTAAAAATTTTAGAGCTAGTGCATGTGTAGTTTTTAAGTTTTAGAATTTCCTTTTATTAATAGATGGATCTTGTGTGAATTTTCATAATTTTTCTATAGATCCAGTGAAGGTGAAATTTTATGGGTGCTATTCTTATGCTAGAAGGATGCTAGGAAAAATAGGAAATCTGTTGCTTGACACTTTTTAATAAGGTTTCCTAATTATGCTAGAAATAGACATAGCATCTGTTATTTTGGATACAGCAAGTTATGTTGGTCCAATTGCTTTGGAATTTTTATGGTAGTCTATGTGCAGCATGAGATAGCTACTGTAATTTTTGTAGATTTTTATGAATAGTTTTACTATATATTGCTTAAATCACCTAATTAACTAAATAAATTGGAAAAGGATATTAAATAATTTATTTAGAAGCTAGCACTATACTTTCTGATGTTTCTTAGATATGAAAAACAAGTTGGTAAACTTGGTTTGGTCAAATTGGGCTTTTGCACCATCATTAAATAATTAAGTTAGCAACCCCGTCATTCTGGACAGATTCTAGGTCTACTGGAAATTGATTTGGTTAACTTCAGAATCATGCCTTGATGCTTACAAATGAATTGTAGAGAATTTCATAAGCTTTCCAGAATGTCCTCTTGCAAGTCATTTAGAGTTATAGAACTCTGGTTATGGTAGAATTAAGTTACTATTTGTTGCATATGAAGCTTTAACTGTTATTTTAAGCATGTCTTTACTATTCTAAGTTCATGGTACTGTTCCTAGGTGTTAGGCCTCTAACTGAAGATGAGCATCTTTATCTTAGGTTATGCAAGTTAGGTAAGTTGCTCTTGTTGTTTAAGTTAAGTTGGATACATACTTAAAGTGATTTGAGTAGAGCTAATTACTCTGGTAAAACGAGTGTCCAAAGTGAGGTTTTCGTAAACACCCATTGTGATTCATTCATCATGAGCATCATGTCATTCCTTATGCATTCATGATATTTATCTTGTGCATCGGCATGCAATAGGTGTACCGGAAGGAGTAACCTGCTGGAATTGAGGAACCGAGCGAAAAAGCAGCAAGTTGACGCGGAGATTCGTGGAGGAGCAATTTTACGGAGAAGTGCGACGAGGTCGCCGTTGAGTGCCCGACCACCGTCCTTGCAACTTTGTGAAAGGCAAGCCGGAGCATATTAAGCCTCCTATTTTCCGAACTGCAGATTCTGATATTATTATTACATATATTGTTGCATTAAGTTTAGGTGTTGGATGCAAACACTGACGCATTGGTTACCTATTCCTTGTCCGGATATTGTTACCTGAATCCTATGTAGCTCAAAGCTCGAGTAGTGCTTAGCCCCGCTTAAACGCTGTAGAAGTCGGGTGATTTCTGTCACTGCGAGATATAGGAAGATACATGTGGCACGGTTGGCTATATTTGCTATCGTGGAAAAGAACCGGTCTTAATTTGAAATGAAGACCGGACGGAGGCTTGCCGGTTTGCAAATGACTCGTGCCGTCAGGTCGCTTAAGGACCGATTCTTGGAGCCTTTCCTGTTCATGTTGAACGATGCTCTCTCTTAGTTGGCGGGTGCGGAGACCCGACCACGGCCGAGTAGCTCACCTCGGGCCGGGAGTCGATAAGTATAAAGTGCGCCTCGGAAGGGAGCCGAGGCGTGAGTCCAAGGGCGTGATTTAAAAGTCCTGATCGTCCTGGCGAAGGGTAATCCCCGAGAGTCTTTGGTGTTGATCGAACCCGCGAATTTGGTTCCTGAGATGTTCCAAAGGTGACTCCACGGCTACCCTTGCAAAGTATGCTGTGGTGAGAGTTAGGAATACCCCTCACTGAGTTGTAATTCGATTGAATCGCCGCCTCTCCCGGTTAGTGAGAACTTGACGGGCTTATCTCCAATGTAGATACACTTAATAACTTAATGGTTCGGAAATGATGATATGATGTTGTGACCTTATTATACCTGCTATGGTTAATATTGTTTGCTCCTAATAAGTGAGTGCTCTAGTACACAGGTGCTAATCTAGTGGGACATGTAAAGGATGATAAGCTTGATGCTAAGTTAAATTGGCTACTATGCTCATAAGCTCTTTTATGCAAATGTGTCAAGCTAGCCCACCGAAAAGCCTTGCATGATCCTTGGTGTCTTTTATTTCGATTTTTGTCGGGTAAGTCTAGTGAGTACCTTCTCGCACTCGTGGTTTATTTCCCATTGCTGCGAGATGACCGCTTCTTCTTTGGTTGTTGCAAGCATCGCCTTCTCCTCACTTGGGGATGAAGACTAGACCGTTGGGCGCGGTCTCTACTAGTTCTCGTACACGATAATGCTTTTGTGGGACATGACTACGATCCGCAATGTAATTGAAACTATGAAGTTATGTACTAAACTATGTTGCTTCCGCACACTCAAACTTGGTTTGTAATATTTTATTTGAACTCTGATGGATGTAATCCGAATGCTACTTGTGAAATGTTGTAACGAATGATGTGTTGTGTTGAATCATTACGATCTTGGTTTGTATGTCGAGAGTTGGTTGAAATCCTTCGTGATTTCCGGACTACCGGGATTATGGGAGCTTAAGTACAGGAATTTGATCGCTTCGGTGATTGTTTTTGTACTTACGTTCTTATGATTTGGTCGGTTCTGTTACACGCGCGGCCTCGCGTGCATGCGGGCGCGAGAAGCAGAGGGGGCGCAGGTGTCCGGACGTGGAGGCGTGGAGGTTCCCGCATGCGTGCGGACACACATGAAATGGAGCAGCAGGCGCCGGTGTCCAAACGGGCATCCGTCCGGACGTATGAGCGTTAGCCACGCCCTTAGGAATACGAATAGATTTACTTAAAAAGGAATATGAATATATTACACATCTCTATCGTTATAAAAATATTTTAAAACCCCCAAATCTCACTAAATAAGCCATAGGAGCTAAACACCTGCAAAACAAAAGATTATACACAATAATATACATTTCAGTTTCCGGGGTAGTCAAATCTGACTAATCAGATATGCACACTAGACTAGTCCAGTCTGCATGGCAGTGCAAATTTCAAAAGTTGTGCTATGAAGTTTTTCTACATACCAAAGATCACAACCCGAGTAGATCGATACAAACATAAATATTGCAATTCAAATCACAAAGGAGACAACGGATTTGTTCACCGAATTTTGGGTTCTCACTTCAACCCTGCGTATCCATTGAGTAAGCATGAGAAACCATTCACGCTCAGGATCTAGCGGATTTTCCATAATGTAGATGCTTGTCAAGTTGCTCGGTTGAATGATATTCCATAATGTGGATTAAAGACAACATAATGACATCAGATACATGCTTAAGTCCTTTGGCTTGTCATGTTCTCAATGAGTCACGTATAAAAAACCGTGCATGTTTCCATTCAGTTTGAGTTTTCATTCATAATGATTTACACAATATCGCTAATGTCAAGTGTATATAAGAAATATCATTCACCTGCTCAACACTTTTAATAAACATGTTAGACCTTTAATCGTGTTGTCATTTAATTTACCAAAACCCACTAGGCTAGATGCACTTTCATCAAGTCCTGCTACCTCTGCACCACTACTTCCACCTGCTAGAGATGAGAGTCAGCCTGTCGACATAAACCCTATCGGTCGCTATAAGACCACTACTTACCGCAACCGCTACATTAGTCGGTATATGTTTATAGGGATCGATCATCAGTCGCTATAACCACTTATAGCGAACGATTTGGAGTCGCAACAGATTGACTGGTATAGTGCTGTGCACAACAAAGACATGCAAGGAAGAAGAAATTACGCCACCAATCCATCATAGAAGCAATGGGCAACTATCTTATGGCAAAGGAGGCTGATACACACAACGAGTTGAAGAAAGAGGAGAGGTGCAAAATGTCTTTGCATTGGGAGGACGAAAGGAGCAGAGAAAAACTGAGTTTAAGAGAGATATGCATGAAGATAGAATTATGAGTGTTGATATTAGTAGTCTGCCAAACATCAAGAATGCTACATTAGCCGACATGAGAAAATTCTTGCAAGACGTCTGAACAACTAGCATTAGCATTTTGCTTTATGATTTTGCTACTGTCGGATTTATAGACTAGTTGAATATTTATTGTGATTTTGTATACCTGTTATTCTATTTGTAGGATTCTTAGATGTTTGCTTGTGCCTTTCATGTACCTCTGTTCAGTCCCTTTTTTATGCTTTCGAGAAGAATATTAGGTATAGTGATGCAGCTCCTTCATGGAATTTTAAGCCAGACCTTCAATTTTTTCGAGCCTTTTTTTTTATCACTGCTGGTTTAATTGCTCATCTTTTTTTGTTGATTGACGTGGACATGCTAAAGTATCTAGGAGAGCTAGAGCTCTCTTGAAGAGAAAAGTTCTAGATGAACACATGGCTGGTCCATTTTCTTGGTCCATCTTTAATGTCTGCTCATGAGAAAGATTTCCCAATTAGTGGACAAATTTACGAATGGTTTGTCGAAACAAAAAACATGATTCTGACAACCAAATACAAGCAATAATACAAATGCGACGCCCAAATTCTCAATTCTCAACCAATACGGTACAGTGACACAACAAATCCTGAATGTCTGAATCCCCAAACGCCGTGGGCAACAGAGCTAGATGAGCAAAGATGCTCACACGGCCGAGATGGCATAGACGGCGACAGCCGCGACTGCTAGCACCAGGCTCACCGCCCCGCGGATCGACGCACCGCCGGACGTAAGGTACGGCGCCGTCGGCGTGGTCTTCGATCCAGTGCCGGTTCCTGCATCAGTCCCTGTCATGTAAGAAAGAAGCCGTGGACAGCTGAACCGACGAGCAACGGTTGTTTGTCGCCTTACCTGCGGTCACTGGTACGCCGGACGATGGCGTGGCCGGCGTCGCTGCGCCCGGAGCGCCGCCGCCGCCAGCAGCTGCCAAAGCAACAAATGCGGTCAATTAGCACGCTTCAACAATAGGAGTATGCAAGAGTCATGTCGCTTGGCAGCCGGCGCCGCCAGCAGCTCTGCTCTGCGGCGGCGGGATTCGGTCGGCTCAAGCACTTACAGTTGCACTTGCTCGCCGGCGGGGTCTTGACATTGCACGCCTGGGGGAGCTCGAGCGCGCGCGTCTTGTCGATGGTGACGCCGCCGAGTGACGAGGAGTCGCCGCTGAGCGCGGCGCAGAGGCACTGCGGGTTGGTTTGCACGACGCTGGCGAGCTGCGAGCAGCACGACGACGGCGGCGCCGACACGTTGCCGCTGATGTAGTTGAGGCACGGGTACAGGCTGATGAGCGTGGTCGTGCACCCGGACTGCGCCGACGCCGAGGCCACCAGCGCCGCCGCCACGGCGGCTGCCAGGAGCCACGCCAAGGCCGACACGCCTGCTCTTGCTGCTCCTGCCGCCATTTCTCTCCTAGCTTCGGTAACGCGAGAGGCCTCTGTGAGGTCTTGGATTGGATGCTGAATTGCCGGTTTGTGCTGTTTGGATTTGTGTGCTTGAGTTGTGTTCTTTGGATTTGTGTTGATGAGGTTTTTATAGGAGTGGTTCGTTTGGGAAGTTGGATGGGTTGGTTAACTTTGGTGATCTGCCGCTTCCTAATCTGTGAGGAAATCATCTTTTTCGCGTCGATTCGTGCAGGAGTGGTTACGGAATTGGAGTACTTAATTCGGGAATCTGCTGAAAAATTGGTGCTCTGAATATCAACCTGGCGGTGGACCTTGCCGTGTTAGGTGTTGCAAACAACGGTAGAAGCAACAATTTTGGTCATTGTGAGCCCGACGGGTGACCAGCATTTTGTAAGGAACCGTTTCAAATTTTCAGACCGGACGGTTATTACTACTTCCGCTGAAGATAGAAATAAATCATGAGATTTCTTTCTATTTGATTACTTTTATAAGACTGGTGTACATTACAAAGATTCAAACTATTTAGGCCCCCTTTGGTTCACGGGTGAAGCATAGGAATTTCATAGGATTGAGGATTCCTTTGGCATGGCCACTATTGATACCTTTGGTTTATGGGAACGAAGCAGATGAAATTTATAGGAATACTGTGCCAACCCCATGAAAATGGAGGAAACTTAACATCCAATCGGACCTCTTTTTTGTGTGAAGACCAAGGCAACTCTCCTTGTTACTCGTACCAAAGACGGGCAATAGTCACTAGCAAGAATAAAAAAAAGGTATAATGCTGATGACTAGATGACTAAGAAATTGGATTACTGTTACAAGCATATGTTCTTCCTTTCCTATGTTACAAACAATCATTTCTATTCCTATCCTCTGTTTTCTAATCCTCTTTTTTCCACCTGCAATCCTATCATATCCCTGTGTTTCTCCTAATCCCGCGTTTCTCCGATGCTGCGTTCCAAAGGAGCCCTTAACCTTTAAATCCTGAGTTGTGTTCAAGTTGCACTTAGAATAGTTGCAAGTGTAGCAGTACTTATAACTGTCTGTAAATATTGGAACGTCCAAATGTGCACTATTAGTCCTCCCTCCAAGATTCGGCTCCTCTCTATTATAGTTGGTAAGCGAGAGGTGACGTCCTACTGGATTATGTGTTCGTTTGTTCTCGGGGGCTGCTAACACTGACGTCTACCATCATTTGTTGTTCAACTACCCTGATGGCTTTACCAAATAGTTACCACTTCATTGTCTTGTCGTTGTTTCCTCTCAGCTAACTGCATGTGTATCGAAGTACTACACTGCCATCTTTGGTGACGAATCTAATAACACATGTTTGATATCATAGATATTAATAAAAAAATAGTAAACTTAATTAAATTAAAAATAATTTTAACTTGGTACTATGCTAAAATTGTAATTTTTCTAGACGAAGAGAGTATCTGATAATATTAAGCTTGAAGCGTCTGCCACAGATGTTGTTCAAGCATCTTATCATAAAACTTTGGCAAAATTTATTAGCGGACACCGTTCTTCGATCGAATTGGCTCTTCAACACCGCTATTTTTTGTGTTTGTCGAGTACCATTATAAAAACGGATAAATTTGCTCCTGGGCACCTGCACTTATTATTTTATTCATTAATAGGAAGAAACAAAGACGGCCCTATTTGGATGTTGTACTTTTGAAAAACCATGGTATTAAAACTTCACTTTTAGAATAAGGGAGGTGCAAAAGTCAAAGTTTAGTAAAATGAGACTTAGAGTGGAGATTCTGAACTAAAAAATATAGTTTTAGCAATATATGTTTTCTTTTCTAAACTTAAAAGATCATTACATTACATACAAACAACTTATAATTTTCACAACAAAGTATTCACCAAAACCATGATAGTTCTCTAACTAAATATTTTGCATCCAAAAAGACCTTAGAGATAGCGAAATCAAAAGTTCATAATTGTCCTTGCGGGAGACGAATACATGCGAGAAGGCAAGGGCGAGCAGGAGAGCACATAGTAAGACCCGTTTGGTAGGGGATCATGGGACAGCTTATGAAGTTGTTTTCCATCTTCAACTACCTAACGAGTGTGGGATAAACAACCTCATACATGAATCTCCCCAAAACGCGCTCTCCCAGGCCAAACGACCGCTAGTGAAGCTGAAAGTACAAGCTTCACCGAGCATTCAATGGCACTGGTGGGCCCAACGGGACCATGGGCACTTAAAACAATTCTATTACGAAACAGTTTGTTCTGTCGATTGAGCTACTTTTTTTTTCCGATATCAAATGGGTCCTAAATCTATATCTATACCTAATAATAAAGAGGCAAAATTTTAATCTATTTTTTTGATCCGTCTCTCTCTAACTACCAGATAATGGAGATCTTCTTCTGTCCGGACTTATATATAACTCACTTATACGAATTAGAATAGCTCTGGTCTAGCGCGATACGAAACTTGATTACAAAATGTATTTGGTCATGTATATGAGCCGGACTCATAAGCCGTGCTCATATGCTCGTCCATCACCTCTGTAACGTCCCGCCTCTCTGAGGCCGGGCCCGCTTACATCTGACAGCTTCTCTAGGATATAGACTGCCCTCACAGACCAACACATGTCTTTTCTATGCATTTTGTCCTCACTCGTGCGCACCTGGGAAGAACTTTCCGGATGGGCTTCCGGAAAAGAAGTTGCAACTTATTGATATGAATATCCTATTAATCCTGTTAAGCCCTGAACCGGGATGTTACAACCTCGTTCTACTATTTTTTGGTATCCAGATACATAGTTAATTACAATCAGTGAGTTCAAATGGGAGTGCCCTGCGGTGCTATTTATTTTCCTATTCCTTCTTTCCCTGCGAGATCCGAGGAATTCCGTTTTCTTTCCCAATTTCGTTTCCTGCTCATCCGGTACCGTGTCCATCCTGGTTTCCCGTTTTCCTCTATTTTTTCTGCGTCCTAATCTGTACCGTATCTATACTGGTTTTTCTCTTTTTTTTCCTTTATTTTTTCAGGATCTGTTTCCGTTTCCTATTTTTTTGGGTTTCCTTTTGCCTCTGTGTTTTCTTCATGTTGTGTTTCCGTTTTTTTTTGCGTCTTTTCTTCTGCTTCCGTTTCATTTTGTGCGTCTTTTTTTTTCTTTTTCTCCACGTTAGTTTTTTTCCTTTGGTTTTCTCCAAATTTCCACCGTTCTAACTTCTTCTATTCTTCTACTTTTTCATAAATATTAAAAATAAATCAGAAAAATAGTATTATGGATCTTTGAACCCTTGACTTCTTTCTTAAGAAAAACAAATATTTTCGTTAATGCGATTTTGTTGATTAGGAACAAAAATTATTTTATTATAACCGGCTTAGATTTTTTGTCTAACTAATTAAACTGTGAGCTAAAATCTTAGCCAAATTGTTATCCGTCCGTTCTAAATAAATTTGTCTCTAAACTATACATATGTACCTATGTAATCCTCGATGAGAGTTACCATACGGAAAATCAAGAGATGTCTCCTGTTATAATCGTCAGCTCAGTACCTTGATTATGGGTCCACAAAGAAAGTCATGCAACTCAATATTTAATTATATCAACGTATAACTAAATAGTATAAAATTATCTTTATGCTTTGTAACATAAATTCATCTATCAAGATTGTATTTTAAATTTGATGCAGACTTAATAGGGCATTGTCATACAATTGCCAATCTTATACTGTAGATGTTACTTTCATTATAATAAATTATAATTTTTAAACTTTATAAAATGATAAAACATAAATAAATATGTACCATTTCGATCATTGTTTTTCATGAATATTTGATAGTTTTTTCTTCCGTTACCACGCACGGGCATATTTGCTACTAAAAAGGAGAAATTAGGTAGAAAGTGGAAGAAGATGCCTGGATATATCCGATCTACGGCATGACTTTGGGGAAAAAACTAAGTAAGTATTTCGTTTTGATTTCTCATTGTGCTATTTATAATATACTGTACAAAATTATGATCACAAGCCAGCTCAAATCCCTGAAATACTAATATCCTCCCCAAAAAAACTAAGTATTTCGTTTTGATTTCTCATTGTGCTATTTATAATATACTGTACAAAATTATGATCACAAGCCAGCTCAAATCCCTGAAATACTAATATCCATGTAATAGTCCCTTCTCAAACCACACAAACGCAACGCATGCTGCATGCATCCTAATTCCTACAACACCACCATCCTGATCAAATGAAAATGGATACAGCTATCGACAGTACAATGGTGACAGCCGCCACGGACACGTGAGAACACCTAATCGCCGAGCTGGGCACCACCACTGGCCTCTGGGAGAAGGGCGGCGAGTCCACTGCCGGAGACGTCGCCGTGGGATCCACCGGAGAGTCTGACGATTCCGGTGGAATCGGTGCTGCAAATGTGTCGATCACATCTGTCAGTAAAGTTCAGAGAAGAAACCTGGCACGACATGAGCAGAGAAGGCAAGGTCCTTACGCAGTGGAGGCAGCGCGGGAGCGAACGCGACAGGTCCTGGAGCTGGGATTTGCGTCGCCGTGTCTGCAAAAATTACCAAGACGGAAAGACAGTTTTCAGCGGTTAATCTTCGTCATTAACGGAGACGGGTATAGTATAAGTTTGCGGCGGCGAGCCGGCGACCAACCAACCTCGGCACTGGAGCGGGACGGAGGTGGAGCTGCAGAGCTTGGGGAGGGAGATGGCGAGCGTGCGGTTGATGGGGAGGCTGAAGGGCACGTTGCCCGTGAGGATGAGGCAGGCGCAGTCGGCGCCCGTGCGCACCATCTCCGCCAGCGAGCCGCAGCACTGCTGCGTCGGCGAGCCGGCGCCGTTGGTGCTCCCCGTCACGAAGTTGAGGCACGGCGTGAACGTCGTTATCAGCGACGCCGTGCACGACGTCGCAATCTGCCCCGACGCCGGCGCGGCGGCCAGAAGCAGCAGCAGCACCGCGGCCACTGCCGCCGCCGGCTCCATCCTGTCACGCCGGCTCATCATCCGGCACGCACGCCCTCTGGAGTCTGGAGCGTGAGTGACGCGAGGTTTTGGAGGGAAACTTTTTTCGAGACAGCAAAGCGAACTGCAAGCACTGTGCTCTCGTGGTGTGTGTATATATCAGACAGTGCTTGAAGTGGTAGATGAATATTGGGTCAAGTTGGTTGCGCGAAACAGAGCTAAAATGTTGACCCATGCCAGTTTGCTCGTGATCAAAATGATTCTGTTCTATTAGGTGTGGTAGGAATGGTTCGTGACCTGACCAACAAACGAATCACTGAAAGAGCAGTACGCAACTACGCAGTGCTACCTGCGGAGTTTCTACAAACCAAGTTATATAAAAACATTAAAAACATGAAAAGGTTTTGGCGAGAAGTTGAGCAAACACAAGACACACAATTGCACAAAGCCGAGAAAGCTAACCGGCTTACGTGCCCTGGCAACTACAAGGGAAGCTAATAAAATTTCAACCAATTAACAATGCAAATCAAACCAATCACGATGCAATAAGAGAAACACACATAAGCGGTGATGCAAATCAAAACAATCATGTACAAATCTAATTGTAGTGAGTGAATTTTTTTAAGAGAAAAGAGAAGAAAACAAAGCTTGTTAGCCTCGAAAACTACTTTCATGTCAGCCCATGTTTAACAGATCCATTGCAGCCCGCAGTCTCAATGTTTCCAGTCGGCCCAATACTAGAGGCCCATGTACGTCTCCATGTCTCGGTAGCCCAGGAGAACTCAGCGGCAGAGCGCAGAACGCGTTCGTTCGGTCCGAGCGTTTAGTACCACCTCGCCAGCCGAAGGCCGACGCGCCGCGAGCTCGCGCTATAAGATGAGCGCCCCCTGCCCCGTTGCTCCATACTTACCTGGACGGGGTAGACGGGCGATCACGAAGGCCCGTGGCCTAGGTCAGTGGCCCTCATTGCACTTTGAGGGCGCGCTGGCTTACCATCTCCCCAAGTGGGAGAGTGGACGTCATAATTTGTGGTAGAGGGGGTACGCGTTCGCGCGGCCCCTGCCAGTTCTCAAGAATTAAATTTTGGTCCGTACACTTATGCTTTGGTCCCTCGGCGCGAGCGGGGTTTTCCTTTTTGTCTACTCTGAGCACTTTTTCTTTGTGATCAGATTCGGGGCCCGCTATCGCGAGTGACCTGCTTGCTCATCATTAGACGTGCTAGGCTTGTGCTACTCTTTCATTTTTTTTTTGTTTTGTTTGCTCATCAGTCAACGTGCAAATTTTGATTGTTTGACGCCAACCACCAGATCAAAAATAAAATGCACTGTTTCAGGAAACTTTAGAGCAAAGCGGAAATCCCTGACCAGAAAGATGCTTAAGTTTTCCTCCAAAAAGATGTACCTGTCGTCATTAACATTGGAAAACACATGGTACTATATTGTCCCTGTGACCATGTGAACCTTTGGATCTTATTCAGTGACAAGTCACAGCGTGACGTTCCTTCAATCTGGAACGTACAATACCGATCCAAACGGGGCTAATGTTAATGCATGCCATTCCATGCCTTATTGTCCGGGTACCCGTGGATCAATAGGGGCAGAGCCAGGATTCAGATATTGAGTCCGCAAGTGTCGACAAAAAGAAAAATTAGGATACCAATGTCAGATTAAAATTTTTTGATCTTGGCTTAAAAAAAACTCTAAATCATCTTTAGTATGTTTCTTTTTCTTTTATCTCGGATAAGTGCTAATTGTCTAAACTGAAGATAAAAGATGACATTGCTCATAAAATCAACGGTTCATATCATATTTGTTGTATCGACACACTTAGAATTATATAATCATGAGATATAACTTGAGAAAAAACACAACAGAGAGATTATTTTATTTAATTTGACCTTTATTACCTTAGTTGAAGAGATTTTTTATCTATAATCTCTAGAATTAGGACAATAATGCCAGGTAGGAATGGATGGTGAGCGATATGAAACAACACTACGAATTGCTCCTTTTGATTGTAGAGTTTCTACTTCTAGACGTGCGCTAAGATTTGGCGAGAAGTTGACCAAACACAACAACAAAAAGTCAAAAACGTCCAAAAGCTCGGGTGGTGATTCCTAACCTGCTCACCTGCCCTGGCACGACAAACAGGGCACACCCAACTCAACAAGTTTCGACCTGCCAAGAACAGGATCGTCACTACAAGTCTACAAATCATAGCACAACCACTTTCGTTGTGAAGACACGCTCCCACCGGTCAACCGGAGCCAGCCAATGGCGGCAGCTCATCATCACGCCGCCGCGCGCGGCCTTGCCCTGGCCCTCGTAGCGACCGGGGTCCTGGCGTGGCACTGCGCGGCGCAGGCGGCGCCGTCCGGCTCCGGCTGCATGCCGGAGCTCGTCAGCCTGAACCCGTGCATGGACTACATGTCCGGCAACGCGACGACGCCCGACGGGCCGTGCTGCTCGGCCGTGTCGGGCATGCTGCGGTCCAGCCCGACCTGCCTCTGCATGGTGGTCGGCGGCACGGCCGCGTCGCTCGGCGTCGCCGTCGACGGCGACCGCGCGCTGCGGCTGCCCGCGGCGTGCAAGGTCCAGGCCCCGCCTGCCAGCCAGTGTAACGGTAAGCGGGCCTGAACAATTGAGGGAACCCGATCTTGGTTGTTTGTCACGGGCCCGGGCACGGCGGAGAATTGAGAATGGCGAGCTAAAATTGCTGCGCGCTTTTGCAGCCGTGGGAGTTCCACTGCCGTCTCCGGCGGCGGGGGCGGCCACACCCGGGGCTCCGGCCGTGGCGGCGCCGTCGGACGCCAGCGTCACCCCTGCAGGTACAGCACTAGCCGTACATAGTTCAGGCTTAATACTAACTAGCCTTTGAATAGATTGGGTGAGCCACTGAGCCCAAACAGACGTTGTCTTAACAGTTAACAGTGAAGACTTGAACTCTGAATTTTTGACACTGCAGGGTCTGGGTCGAAGGCTACACCGGCCTCCACCGTTCCATACTCTGACGGAAAAGATAGTAAACCCGGAACGTTCTTCGTCTTCGCCGCCGTTGCGCTGGCGCTGCTCCATCGTTTCTGAGATGCGAGAGCTTCTTGTGTTCGTCATGGACGGTCAATTTGTACGGTTGGAGGTGTTTGTCTTGCCGCTCCACGGCTCCAGGATTCAAAGGGACAGAACACACTTGCGCTGATGTGCACCTGGGCACTTTCAGTTAGCGATCACGCTAGCTGTTTGTTCACGCGTTGAAGCTCCATGGAGGATGTGATTTGTAGTCTCTCAGGATCGATGTCATGAAGATGATGTGTTTGGCTGTTAATCGAACAGGTCAATCGGATTTACGTATTTCCGAGACTCTTCTTATATCTATAGACAAGTAAAGAAGTCACAGTCAAGTTGACCATTTGACTTACCTGTATCTGTATGCAACCACGAGCCACACCTCACACGTCACACCTTCCTTCTCCCGGCTTCCTCGTTCCTTCCCGCAAGAAGGCGATAGGCTCATACCACATGTGCGACACCAATTTGCATAAGCTAATCTACACCAAGCTTGCCGGTCAAGATTCTCCTTCTCTCTGGTCAAAGTCAGACGAAGTTAGCTAAGCTGCGTCATCCACTGGAACTGGAAGTATAAGAACAGAGGCGAGCAGCTGCACTGCCGCATCGAGACATCATGCATCAGAGCCCCCAAGAAAACAGCTCAGCAATGGAGGCCACGGCGACGCCAAGCACCCAAGAAGAAGTCAAGCCCGGCACGGCGAAGGTAACCGTGGCCGAGGTGACGCTCCGGAAGTTCGAGGTGTCCGACGTGGACGCCATGATGGCGTGGGCGTCGGACCCGCAGGTGGCCGCCCCGTGCCGGTGGGACGCCTACGAGTCGACGGAGCCACTGCTGGCCTTCATCCGCGACGTGGTGCTCCCGCACCCGTGGTTCCGCGCCATCTGCCTCGAGTCCGGCCGCCCCGTCGGCGCGGTGTCCGTGTCCCCGACGGGGGACCCGTGCCGCGCCGAGCTGGGCTACGTGCTGGCGCGCGCGCACTGGGGCCGGGGCGTGGCCACGGCCGCCGTGAAGCGCACGGTGGCCACGGTGTTCGCCGAGGTGCAGCGGCTGGAGCGCGTGGAGGCGCTCGTGGACGTGGCCAACCCGGCGTCGCAGCGCGTGCTGGAGAAGGCCGGGTTCACGAGGGAGGCCGTGCTCCGCAAGTACTCCGCCGTCAAGGGCATCGTCAGGGACATGGTCATGTTCAGCTTCATCGATACCGACCCGGTGCCTGAGTGACTTTGTACAACGACCCTTTTGCCATTCTTGTTGTCGGATGCATCCAATTCCGAATTTCATGCAAGCAATTTCAATGTTTTTCTGTAAAATTTACTCGGGAGTTGGGACAAACACAAACGTATGTGCAACATAGCGACACGTGTTTTCTAGCCGTTTTTATAAGCGGCGCACCGTGCGCCCCTAGCTCCGATCCCAGCCTCAGAGCAGCGACCACGACCATCGAAACCTCCCGCCGACTCCAGCAGCGCCGATGGCGGAGGAGGTGACCATCCGGCGCTTCGAGCTCTCGGACATGGACGCCATGATGGCGTGGGCGTCGGACCCTCAGGTGGCGGCGTTCTGCCGGTGGGAGCCGTACGCGTCGACGGGGCCGCTGCTGGCGTTCCTTCGCGACACCGTGCTCCCGCACCCGTGGTTCCGCGCCATCTGCGTCTCCGGCGCGGTGGTGGGCGCGGTGTCCGTGTCCCCCACGCCGGAGCGCTGCCGCGGGGAGCTCGGCTACGTGCTGGCCCGCGCGCACTGGGGCAAGGGCGTGGCGACGGCTACCGTGCGGCGCGCGCTGCGGGACGTGTTCGCGGAGCTGGAGCCGGAGGGCCTGCGGCGCGTGGAGGCGCTGGTGGACGTGGGCAACCCGGCGTCGCAGCGCGTGGCGGAGAAGGCCGGGTTCCGCCGCGAGGGCGAGCTGCGGCGGCACTACTGGCACAAGGGACGCGCCAGGGACATGGTCATGTACAGCTTCCTCTCCTCCGACCCCCTCCCCGAATGATCCCCGTGGCGGCCGGATCGTCCTTCCATGCATCATCTCGATCAGCTCAGATGCAATCACTTCACAATCCTTGTTACGTACTACATACGGAACAATATGTGTGATGCTATCGTGTACAAGTGGACCGTGCCATCATGTTTTTTGCTGGTGTCTATGTTTGGGACCAAAGATTCTAAGAGTTGGCTGTTTGGTACTGCACGTGGTGCTCTGCATCTGCTCCACTCCGAGAACACCTGCTTCGCCGCTTGGCGCCGCGAGCCCGCGAGGAACGCCTCTCGACGCCGCGTACGTGTCTATGAGCGTGATGCCATAGAAAATCCTAGAAAATGCGATAGGCGGAAGCGATTGCCCAGACAACAAACTCTGATTAATCCAACACGTCACTCTGTCCCTAATCCAGATAAATTAAGTGATGGCGTGGGGCCTACACACTTGTGTGATTGTGTGCCCCACGCCCACTTTGATTAGTGTGGCTGAAAGCCGGAAAGCAGAGACAGGACAGCGCGCAAAGCATCCACTAGTGACTGACCATCACAACCAAGACAAAAGCAACGCGCCGGACCGGAGGCTCAGAGATGGAGCAAGACGCGTTTAAGTATCATTGTAATTAAAGAAAAAGAAGAGTTTAACCATACACATGACACGTTTCTAATGAGCGCCCTATGAAGTTTTATAGTTGTGACTGGACCTTCCTAGCAGACTGTTTCAAACTTCGATATTACATAAAAGTAAACAACCGAACTACGAGCAACGCAGTAACCTATAGAGCTGTGCGCCTCCGCTACGGGCCGCACAACTATGCTCCGTCATCCGAGAAGAGTCTTCTACCAGTCGTAGCATTGGTCGCCGGGAACAGCTCATCCAGTGCTTCCACTTCGCTCGACGTCAAGTTCCTTGCGAAAAAGTCGTCGTAAGCTCTCTTGGACGCGGATGAGACTGGACCTATCGGCGGTGCAAAGCCCATCCTCCGCATGAGGAGCACCTCGCCCCGCTTGGAGATCGGAATATGCGCCAGCGGCTGAGCGGCAATCTGTCTGCTCCGTTTTGGCATGGGTTGCCTTATGGTTGCCACCTTCTGCCTGGGTGGGTTGGCGATTAATGGCGGCATTCGCTCGAGCTGCACCTCCTCAGTGAAACGTGCGAGACGTCGGGCAGCTTCGCGTGGTGTGAGCGTCGCGTCACTGGGGGTGGTGCAACCCTCTACGACACCGGGTGCTCCCGCTCGTGGTGGCGTGGGTTGTGGCGGCCCCTGCACTGGCGATATCAGAGACAAGTCTGTCGTCCACTGAGTATCCGCCGCCGGAGAACAGGTGTCCACTGGTGCTTCAACCTCCTAAGGGGCTGTCGTAGCAGGCAGACACTCAGGTGTTGCTGCTCTCATTGGCCGGCTCACGACGAGCGAGGCGGCGAGCTCCTCCAGCATCGGGTCGAAAGAGATGACCAATGCAGGAGGCCCCGCACTCACGCACAGGGCCAGCGCCACCGGATCTGGCTCAGGGAAGCTTAGTACAGCAGTAGATGTAGGGGTCTTGTCGGTGTGATCGGCAGGCGCACCCATGCCGATCTCCTTCGGCTTAGTCTTGCGTCAGCGATGTCGTCGTCGTCTCCCACCGGGGCCCCCACGGCCCCGATGCGGCACCCTTCGCACCGCCGCGTGGCGCATGCTGGGAGGACGTAGGGTCGTGCGAGCATAGAACCGTGGCAAACTGGCACCCACCGCCGCCGAGGTCGAAGCAGTCCTTCGCCGGCAGTCCTTGACGAGGTGCCCGAATCCGCGACAGCGCAGGCAACGCCGCGGCAACCGACAAGTCGCTACTCGGTGCGAGTAGAAGAGGCAGTTGAAGCATCTGCTGTGAAGCTCTGTCGGGATCTTCTTGATCTGCGAAAGTTGCTTCGGTCGGGCGAGCTTCGCCGAGGCAAAGCAAAGAGATCTCGTGACTTCGCCGGAGGATCTCACGCCACCCATCGGTGTTGGGGCGAGAGACCCATCCACGGGCGGCCGAGGCGTTTGGCGGCGGGGACAAGGCCCTCCATCGCCGCAGACAGCAAGCCGTTCACCACCGCGGGCGTGGTTGGCTGCGCTTCCTCCGCCACGGCCATGTCCTTATCGGCCCGTTCAAAGCACCAAAGACGACCGTGCAAAGGCCCGCTCATGGCGCCCCAAAGCTGCGGTGAACGAAGTGCGGGGCGCACGGAGGCGCCGAGAGGGCCGGCGGGCGACGACAGCGCCTCTAGGTATGTCACGGGTAGTCGCCATCGGTCACCTCGTCGCCGTCGCCCGCCCACCGCCCGGCTCTTCAACGCCCCCGAGGAGCATCTCGGGAAAAAGCGTACGCTGCCGGCGAGAGGGAGGAGCTTGAGGCGTCAACGACGCCTGCGTGACGGTATTTCGAGGTTCGGCGTGACTGCGGCATTGCTGCATCCAGCCCCGGCAGCGGAGGAGGAAGCGCGAGCCGACGCGCCCTCGGCGTCGATGGCAGCGCCGTGGTGGCTTCCGTGGCGGTGTCCTCAACCCCCGGCGGCGTTGGTGCAAGCTCCACGGGAGGAGGCGGCGGTGGAGCGCCCGAGCTGACAGCGTGAGCCGGCCCAGCGCCGGTGGAAGCCGCGCGCGTCGGTGATGGCAGGGGGACGGGGTTCGCAGCGCCACGAGTTGAAGATGGCCGAGATCCGGAGCCTGCCACCGGCGGGCCGTCAGATCCGATGGGCTGGATGCCAGGGGCGGCGGCGGCGTGGTCGAGAACGGCGTCACCGTGATGCCAACAGTGCAGGGCAGGGGAGGGGAATGGGAGGGGGAGAGGGAGGCGGGGGAGGAGGAGGTGCGGGGCGGCGGCGGGGTCAGGGCGCTAGGGTTCGGCGGGGTCAGGGCGCTAGCTATGATTCGCTTCTGTCATGGCATCGGCGTTTCTGTCGACTCTTTCGCAAGGTTTTTGATTGAAATACGTGTCCATGCGCGTTCTAGAGATGGCATCGGCAGAGGTCCTACTCAGACAGTCATACCACTTCTCCATGCCCGATGGACTGTGCTTTTTGTGATGCAGCCAGTGCCTTTGTCTGGCAAGTTCGTCACATCTGACGACGCATTGCTCCAGCCAGCGTACGTGACTACGTGTCAGCGTGTCCCTGCAGATTTGTTCGGTGATCTTTGTTGTTTTGCTCCATGCGTGATGCAGTAAACTCTTGGCATCAAAAACTCGCAATGGGGCAATGAACGTCCGTTTTCTGGGCGCAGAACATCAGACCAAGAATCTCAGCTTACTTTAGTGGTCTAGTGGGCTGTGCTCCACGCCGTGGGCGTGGGCGTCGGACCAAAAGGTCGCGTGGTTTCTGGAGATGGGCGATTTCTGGACCCAACACGCATCAATCAATGAATCAGGTAGATCGATTCCCTCAAAAAATAATAAAAAAAATGGACTGTGCCTGTGCCAGAATGTCGTTTTGGCTGGTGTCTTTGGCTGGTTTGCATATTGTGCTCAGTGTCACTCAATCAGGACATCAGGTAGGTCCCCTATCATCCACCGGTTGTACTAAAAAGATAAGAGTGTGATGACAGTTGTAGGCTAATATATCTGCAACAAATGCTTCCATAACGTGGCTGGATGACCCAAAGTCGTGCAAGAAAACCAAATGGCATTGGCATTGCTGCTTGCAGACCACCAACAAGCATCTCAGCTACGAATTACAGACTTATTACTCTTCTTCCGCTACTGATCTCCAAGAAGACCCACTTCTTGGAATTATTAACCGAACTTGTTTTTCCAGGACCTCCATTGATCGATCGATCGATCGACATATAATAACCAAAGAAAAACAAGGCTCAAGAGGACAAGATGCCAAGCACAATGCAGAGGTATCATCATGCTTCCCATCCCCTGAGGACGGTGGCGCGCGCGACGCGGTTGACGCCCAGCGTGAAGGCGCCCATGCGGAGGTCGCAGTTGTGGCTCCGGCACATCTCCTTCACGTTCCCGAAGGCGCGCGTCATGTACGTCCGGAGCTCCGCGTTCACCTTCTCCTCGTCCCACATGAACCCCTGGATGTTCTGAACAATCCAAAGCACGTGCCCACAGCCACGGTTAAATTTACATTACAAGTGTTCTGTAGTCTGTGTGGAAGCACAGGAACACTGTGCGGTGACAGATGGGCAGCTCAAAGGAGAAGAACTACGGACCTGAACCCACTCGAAGTAGCTCACTGTGACGCCACCAGAGTTGGCGAGGATGTCGGGGAGGACGAG